TTGATCTCGGCATATTAGAGTGCAACTGGCTAAACACATGAAAGCACTTGGGCTTTTTTTGAAAAAAGTAAACCCCCATGTATTATTTAGTAACTGTCACAATGGGCCTGGCTGCAGATTGCCATAAAAACTTTTCCTCCTATTTTTTTAAAGGAACAGACAAACTGCAGACAATCCTCCACCCTTTGATGACATGCAGATCAGGACACATTCCTCTTCTGCCCTTCTCTAGAACTCCCATTTAAAGCCAATCCGATTCCAGATTCAAATTTATTTATCTTAAACTAATTTTGGAACAGACAGAACTGTAAACAGATGTAGTCTGGTTTTTAGCTTCAGGATCCAGCTTTCAAAGAATATGAGCAGCCACAGCCCTTAACTTCAACGGACACCGGAGCACCGTGTCCCAGTTAGGCTAGGCCATTCAGGTTGCTGCCCATGTTGTGTGTTAATTTGGTTCATTCCGTTTACAATTTCAAAGTTTAAAGAGAAAATCTACATTTTTTTCAAAGCTAATAATTAAAAGAAATGTCTGACTCATGCACTGACAAATTCCAACAGCTGTTCATTCTACACAAACTTGATTCACTAGGTCTGTGATTTTACTTTATTTTTTTTTTTTTTAACACCACCACATACAGTGGCAAGAGCTTAAAGAGCTGAGTGGCTGTATGTAACTGACACATACAGTTTTGAGCAAACTGGAGCCAACAGATTTCTAACGTGCTATTGCTAATTGCCATCAATCAACAGCAATGGGAAAGGTCCACTGGCCATTAAATATTCAAGTATTCCCTTTCTTCAAGTGTAACGGTCATTTTGATGAATTTTTATTTTCAAGGAGAGAGGCATCAGGTTGTTTTTATTTTTCACGTGTTCCCTGTCACCCATTTACCTTTAAAGACTCAACTTACACAGAAAGGAGGAGAAAAACAGGAAAATAATCCAAGCCTACCAGCCCTATTCAAGTCAACGAGAGTCTGGTTCCTTGTGTCATCATGGAGACTCTTTCCACTGTCTTGCTCCAACTGAATTTGTTTAATCCTCACAGTTTTGGTCACCATCTGGCTCATTTTGTTGTCTATGCAGAGACTGTATGACAGACTTCCATTCACCGCAATAGGAACTCTTTGCTGAGTGATTTGATAGCCAGCCTGTCAACAAAATTAGCTTTATACTTAAATAAAACATTCACTTTTCAGAAAGCAGCAGCATGGCCAAGTGCAAATATTATAGACTAAGAACAAAACTGAAAATGCAGCATCTCCCATAGTGACCTATATAAGAGGACAGAACACAAGCACATGTAAATTCAGAAGTTATTTTGCTTAGCTGGAAAGGAAGCAAGCTAGAAGAAGGGTCTAGAATTTGACATAACTGTGAGAAGCTGGAGGTCTGGAAAAAATAAGAGAGCTCCTCAATACAGGCAAGTGTTAGATACTATACTAATGCAGAAATAATCAATAATCAACTGCACAACCACTCGCCAAGGATGACATAAATTTCACTGATATTGCCTTGGGGCAGGAAATGGGCTAGTCCACCCCTGTGGTTCCTTGATCATGTTAAATCTTGTCTGAAGCCAGTTAACCGTACTTCCATCCCCAAACTGGGACTATCACTCATCCTTCCATCAGGCTGAATATCCCTCTCTGCCTGTTCAGAACTTTACTCGTTAGAGGGGAGGAGAGGGAGAAGGAAGGGGCGGGGGGCGGTGGAAATCAAGAAAATGAGAAAGCTCAATTTCATTAATATAGCAATTTAAAAGATAGACGCTGCAACCCCACATAAGGCACACAGCTGATAAATGCCACCTCATGCCTGGGACTCTACTCAAAGGGGAAACTGCTAGCCACAGAAGGGGCTGCCAGTGACAAGGTACTGGACTGACTGCAACGATGTAAAAATATAGAAGTAATATCAATTACTCTGTTGAGGTAGGGTCCCCATCTCTTCCTCCTTCCTAGCCTGCTTATGCCCCCAGTGGTGAGAATTAAAAAAAAGCCTGCCAGATGTTAATGAATTGGGAGGAGCATTTGTATATTTTGCAGGGAGGACGAGCTTACTCTAAAATGTAGAGATGGTGATGGTGCATTGGAATGGAGAATAATGGTCTGGCCCTGTGAACAGCTCAATTTCTATATGCAATGAAGTGCATGACCTTCTAGCCATAATCAGTATAAGAAAAATAAAATAACTGACTCTGTGCAGCCTATGCTAATCACACAGCTCTTCCCATCTCCTAAAACTTCTCATTAAAAGGATTTTTCTAAAGCCTGAAATAGTGAGTGACAATAAATAACAAGAATCCCATTTCCCATCCAAAGCCCCATTTTCAGGAGTAACAATAATCCCATTGTCAAACGACCTTAAGAGCTGGATTTATTTTATCTGTTCTATACAGCTCATTAGCCTAAACTCTGCATCTTATTACAGGGTTCCTGACTAGACTGTTTCACTATGAAATGCAGGTCAGGCAGTTTATTGTCAGTGCTGAAACTGCAGAAGTCAGCCAGTAGAAAGCCAGAATTACATGTTTCAAGCTAATAAAATGTGTCAGCATCTCCTTGACCAAATTTCCATGCTTATCTGACCAGAAGATCCTGTAACTCATGTCTGAAGACAATAGCAGCCCACTTGGTGCTGTACACACCTTCTTCCACCTCACTCTTCTCCTCTAAACACATGGATGCGGTTTCTTTCCTATGACATTATTCCATATAGCTTCTGTGCAGTAGACTGATAGCAGCAGATATCACAAGAATATGAGAGATTGTTTTCAGTTTAACAGCAGAAGCACCAAAGGTGGCTTGCAAACAAGTCTATGATGTTTTTGGTGTTTCTTTATGACGTGTGAACGAATTCTGAAAGTCATGTTTATTTCCTGCTATTTCACTTTTTTCTCCTTCAGGTCTGGAAATGGGCTTTAAGATAGTTTTACAAGTTAAAAGTATTGGCAATTCAAACTGCTAAGTTTGTGTTTCACATTCCCAGTAGCTCACTACAGAGCCCCCAACAAAAGGGCCTCTTAATGGCTCACAAATATTAGCAAAGCTATCCCCAGAAACCAAATCAGCAATTACATCAACTTCACAGAAGAGCCACAAGTTCCCAACCTAGAAGAAAACAGAACAGACATCTCTTCTGAGATGCAGGTCTCCAGTGGACAGCTATAACATAATTCTCTTTCTAAGGTGGGAAGCAATTGTATTTGAATATGTTTTGTGTAACTTCAAAATATTTCCAATGCCTGAAGAAAAGAGTGGGAGAGAAGGTAGTTTGGTTAATAATACAGCACCTCTACACATTAATTTGGGACCTGAGAAACCTCCCACTCTGCTTCTCTGGCTGTCTGGGACACCTCACCTAAAGAGAGAATAAACTAACATGCCTGACCTTTCTCAGATAAAACAGAAACAGATTTTTTTCTTTTAAGGCAGTCATCAGATCTTCACCCCAAAATCAGATGACGTAAAACTAGTGTCCTCCCTTTGACAGGTTACCATGAAACTGAATATTCAGAACAAACAAGCTGACAGCAAAAAAAAGAAAAAAAAAGTTTTAAATTAGAAAGGTTTAATTTCATTAAAATAGAAAAAAAGGCTCAAACACTGCTGCATCCTGTTGCAATGACGGAAGTCAGGTTCTTAAATGATGTCAGTATTTCCACACCCATACCAAATGCGGCAAAATGCATTTGATTTCCAGTGACACCTTCTACCAAATACGAAAGCTACCAACAAACCATACTGCAAAGACTCCGTTTTTCAGTTTTGTTTTTTTTTATTTATTTATTGGAACTACTGACTGAGAAAGTTTTAAAGGGAAATTAAATATTTTTAGGTCCCTAAGCACACACAGAAAAGACACTATTATGTTTGTACCACTGGAACCTGTGTTTGTTATACATTCACTTTAAATGAAGGACTATTATCAGACTGCTTTTACCCTAACAGACAATTAGTGCTAAACACCAGGAATGGAGAACTTCAGGGGCAAAGCAGCTCCAGCTCCCAATTCAATTACATTAAGCTACTGGAATCGTGCAGCTAAGCAAGGAGTCAGCAATCAGAGCAATCATATTCAATCAGTGAGCACCAGGGTACAGCTGCCTATTCATCAGGGCACAGCGCAGCATCCTGTTGGGGTGAGCAGAACACTGACTGAAAACAGAAAAAGCATCTCTTCACTCATCCCCTATTGCCATCCGTACTGCAGACTTGTCCTTTCCTACAGCTGTAAAGGGACCAGCTATACTGCATACTTACAGGCAGATCTGCATAGAAATAGTGTTTTCTGTCAAACAAGGACCTCTTGTTTATGCTGCAGTTGAGCGCCAGGCCTGTCATCACTGCTGCTTCTACACATCTCCTGTTGAGAACCTAAGGAACATGACACATGGTTTTGCTCACATACTCAGTATGTAACAAATGCCTCCCACACATTGCCTTATATGGAGCATATATTCAGTTTTGCTTGCCTTCAGTCACCATTATATGCTCTTTCCTTGTGTGGGTAGTTCTTATTCATCATCAAAAGTCGTGGTAGCTACAAATCTGCAAAGCTTTAAGATGAAAAAACAAGCCATTCAGACGTTTTGTCATGCCACATAAGGAGGTGCGCACTGTTCTGGCTTGCTACTTTTGCAAACATCCCAGTACTCGTTCACCCTCGAAGATTCAAAAGACAAATCATAGCAAATGATAATTGACTTGTAACCAGCTGTCAACTCATACAGGGAACTGGAAACACAGGGGATTTGCATTAGGGACTGCAGTGCCATTTAAGTAAAACACTTCAGAACACCTGTAACCACAGAACCACAGTGAATTCATGAGTATCTACACATAGATTTCAATCCTTTGCTTAACCAGGATGAAATTAAGCACACTTACATGGTTTGCTAAAACAGAACCAAAGAGACATCAGTTGACCCCATGGCTACAAGTATACATGCATTTCCAGAACCGAGGTAACCCATGGGATTAAGGTTCCTGCAGAATGCCACGTGATCTGAAGACCCAGCAAGGCCTTCGTGAAGAAATAAAGGAGTTAAATGCAGTTTCTCACCATGGACCCATCACTCTCAGTGCTACACCCTTCTATCTCCTCAGCAGGTCCAGGATCCAGAGGAGAAAGAAAATTCCACTCCAAAAAGTACTAACAAGCAATGTTTCAAAGTTATGTTTTTTTCAAACGTGCTCTCATTAATTTAACAGTTGGTTTAACTAGCATGAAATGGATAAAACTGAAAAGAAGAAAGACTGAATTTGTCTTAGTACAACTCTGACATGCTCATACTTACAGTATTTTGAAACAGGAACAGTTGTTTATCCATCTTATTCTGCACTGTACAGCTGCCAAGAAGTCAATTTCTAGCCAGACCATTAAAGGGGCACATTATGTAAAAGAATCTACATGACTTCATCTGCACTGACCAGAACATAAAAGGCTTAAATAACGTTTTCTTCAATGTTTCTGACAGTATTTACTTTTTATATTCTCCAGCCTGATTTCTGAAAACAGATTAAGCAGCTGTGCATTTCCCATCATCCCATGTCTTCAGCTGAAAAAGGAATCTCTTTGCTTTACTTGTCTAATATTTCAAAAATCAAAATAATAAGAGAAAATATGAGAAACTCTTCATGTAACAGAAACTTAAAAATTGCTTATACAGACAAGAAATTAAATATTTAAGACATTTAACGAGGAAACTTTCAGATCTTTAGTGTAGCTATATATGGCTAACTAGAACACAACATCTATTCGGGCATATTTTATTTATTAAAAAATTTAAAAGATACATAAAGCAAATTTTAAACTAGAAAAAAGGGAGAACGATTTCCCTTTGAAATACTGATCTGCAGCAAAATGAACGCAATTAGTCTTGACTGTAATTTAAAGTAAAATTGGTAACTACAAAATATTAATTTATTTTAGTATCATAGCTGCAGTTCATTATATAGTAGATGCTTCTGTTTTCAACAATTAAATGCTTCCAGACAGTACAGATACTTTTTTTTTTTTTACTGTTTAAGGAAGCTTGTAACAGTGCTAGTCAAACTGTTCAACGCTTAAAATATCATAATATTTCTAAATACACATGCAAAATTTTCTCCTACTAAAGCCTTATGGCATGATCCTGTTCAGCTTTACAAATTAGGGAGGACCATGCCAGTCAGCCCTTTAACAACTGGTCACCAGAAACTATTAAGGCTTCATAAGGACTGGGTAGACTCAAAAGACCACTGCACCAAGGAGCGAACTGGTGTCTTGCCACATTTCCTGAGAGTGCAGGGGTTGTGACTGATTGTAATCAGAGAACGATTAATGATTACACTACAACTACTGCCTTTGACCACTTGCTCTTCAATTTTTGTGTATCTTACTCATCGCCCTAAGGGATAACACTGTTTTGAGGTGAAGGAAGTAATTCCCACATACATACTACTTACACCAGTGAGAAGCTTTTGCACTACTGCTGATGAACCATTTTGGTGGCTCTGGGGAAAATCTGGCATAAAAATGTGAAGTATTGATTATTTTCTATGTAGTATTACTAAGCATTTAGATGACTGTAATGTGTATGTGTCCCCAGTGTACTGGGTCATACTAGCCAAATCATTGTATACGCACCATTCACTAGTACCACTCGCTGTGCTACTTCTTTATCAACATCCGTGGTGATAGAAGGCATTGCAAAGCAGATCTTTCCCACTATGGCATACTGAGATGTCTACCATGCCAATCTGCTTCCTCTGCCCTGTTTGACTCTTAAAAAAAAATAATCAGATGACCCTGTACTTCCTCAAAAATCAAAACTTATCTGTTTAATATTGCTCCATTTCTGAAGTGACTACTACTACCTACTCCAGTGATCAAGGCTGTGCGTATAAAGCAGAGTTGTTTAAGCAAACTACTACTTTTCCTTCAAACAAGCCTAGCTTTTCAAATAATCTGGAGTGATAAACATCAATTCAGTATGTGACACTTCCCATACTAATGACCTAGAATCGGTCCCCCAAGCTTGTTTATGCAGTAAGCTGTTATTAAGTTGACAGCTTTGACTAGCACCAAAAATTTAAATTGCTGGCTTGAACTGACAAGCTGCCAGTCTGGTATGTTAGCAAAGTGCTGGCCTTGAAAGAAAGCTATGTAGTTCCTGCAATAGCTATGGACAAAACAGAAGAGCCTATAAAGCCTTCTTAAATATTTCTGGTCTTCTAAAATGGAAGTCTCTCTCCTAGGTATTGATTTAAAGAAATTCCTAGAGAGCTATCAAAAAAGGAAATGTAAATTGTTTGTATTGGAAACTCATGAAAAACCTTAACGATGGCATCACAACACCAGCACCGTTTCCCTTGTAGCTATGCTATCCTGCTAGAGCACCATGGTAACTGAGCGCTAAAGGAATGAAAGAACAATCCAAGCAAGTTCTCTCTTTTTCTACTCATCTATTCTTTACGTCTCATTCACAAGTGGAAAGACTCCTTTTAAAAATTTATCATCTTTATTTGCAAGGTCAGTTTAGTCAAGACCTTGGTTTTAAATACAAGACTATTCAAGAGTTATACAAATCCATACACAATACCTTCAACGGCATACATTCCCACCAAAAGCAATTTTAAAATGTTTTTTTCTTTAACAGCAGGTTTACTTTTTGTATCAATATATTAAAGAAAGCTGGCTCCGTTTTAGGTGAAAATATATGTTTCTGTATTTAGTAAATGATCATTTTTACATTTTAAAGAGAGTAGGTACGCAGCTTCTTGTTTTGCTAATGAGTATTATATAGGATAAGTGGGGAAAAAGAAGAAGAAACGTCTAGATCTCTTTCCTGGAAGAAGTTTATTTTTGCTACCTTTAAAAAAAAAAAAAAAGTAATCTTTGCCATAACAGTGGCACCCAGGAAGCCTAAGTTATGGAACAAAATAGTCCTTGTACTAAACACAATAAAATCAAAATAATTCCTCAGAAATTTTAAAAGTTTTTTATTCTAGGTCACACATTTTAATAAAGTAGATTTCATATTAATTGGCTATCTTAAGACCTTCATTCCTACTTATAATCATGAAGAAATCAGCATTAATCAGATTACTACAGGACTGTTTATCTAAGAAACATTTAATTTTAGCTCCTTTTCATTCAGAATAACAGCTGGAAGAAGGAAGTAGTGCAATGTACTTAGCCAGCTCTCTGTAGACCAGATAGTAATCTTTAGAAACCTCAACAGATATACCTAATCATATTTCCTAATACTCCCATTTCTTATCACTCTGATTTTTATTTGCTTCCACTATCGGATATATTCAGTCTTACTATTCTTGCTGTATTAAAAGTACCAACTTGCTCCAATATATGGTTCTTGGAAGTACAATCATAAGTTAAACTTCAAAAAAACCTACTCTCATATCTACTTAGTCCAAATGTAATTGCAACTGTTCAGTCTCACACTGCAGATGAGTACTTCAACGCAGCTTTCTTCCTTGGCATCCTCCCCCACACACAGAAGGGTGTAACTGTCTTGTAGCTATGCGTGTACAGAATGTACACTACAATAAATGAAGAGCTAACCATTTCCCAAATGACCCACCTATTTCAATAGGTCTACAATCAGACCCCATCCCTCTAAGCATACAGTAAAAATTTAAAAAACAAGCCAACCTAAGTCTTGTCATTTGTTTGGTCTGCAAAGAGCCCACATGTTCCAAAAACAGGTCTCTAACTGCAGGTGAAATTTAAAAAGAAGGCCAGCTTCAGTTTAGGGTCTTCTGCGTTTCAGTCCAGCATCTACTTCACAGCATATTTCCTGCCCTAATATGAGCATTATGTTCTTATCCCTAAGGAAAGGGGCAAGAGAGTAGGGGAGGAAGCACCCGACATTTTAAATTAAGATCTTAGCTTAATAGAAAGAGATTCCAGCTTAAGAAAAGAGAAGAAAATGGCAACTGAGAAGCTGAAGCAGCAAGGGAAGATCTGGGGGTGGTAGCGGGGGCATTAAATATACTTTAATATATTTTGTAACTTTATCTTTCTGCAGTCTGGTACCGAAGACATATGCTGCTATATAAAACATACTATTATTCCTAACCTTGTCTGGTGGCAAAGTTGGCTTGTGGTGATGCAGCACACACTCATTCAAGTCATATCTTAAAGCCAGGCAACTCTGACATTTTAAGAAGTACCCAGCTCCCAAACACATTACTTTATGTGTACTCAAATAAGAGGGCACACTCTCTCGAAGCTGAAAAGCTAGTCTGAGAGCTCATATCACAAGGCTTAGAATTGGGGGAAGCATCTTCCAGTGTCAGTGATCATCAGAAATTTCAGCAGTAGTAGGGAGAAATACTGACCCCTGGGAGTAAGAAAAATGGAAAGGTAT